GGCACGGAAAGTCCCTGGGCCCCTGCCAGGAACACTCAGCTCATAATAACCTCGCGGAAAACACCGCGGCCGCGGCCTCCAGAAACCCCGGCCTTGCGCAATCCCCCGCAGCCCGCGCCTCTTGGGGGCCCCCACGCAGTGCGCTCACCGCCCCTCGGGGGCTTTCCCTGTCATCCCTCAGGTTCCTGCACTTGGCAATCATCCATGAAGAGAAGACTCTGACCATGGAAGTGATTCGGCAGGGGAAGGGAGACCTGGCCTTCCTCAACTTCCAGAACAACCTGCAGCAGGTGCGCGCTGCCCCAGCCGTGCCCTCTTTGACCTGGTGGTGGAGTTGGATGTTAGCTCAGTCGCCCCCAAAGTGTTTCTAAATTAATAGTCACTGAGCCCTTATCTGCCCTGGCCTTTTACATTCAAATTAGCCAACATCTTAGAGCTTGAAGAAAATCCCAGGGGTTTGGTGAGGTCTTTACGACCCAACTGGGGCTTCATGTTTGCCTGGTCCCCTGTAGCCATCAGGGAGGAGCAGAATTCACAAGGAGTTGTCTGGGGTTCAGGAAACTCAAGACTATGGATTTGCTCCATGACTTATCCCCGTTCTGTTTCCTCTTCCGTTTGTAGACTCCACTTCACTTGGCTGTGATCACCAACCAGCCAGGAATTGCTGAGGCACTTTTGGAAGCTGGCTGTGATCCTGAGCTCCGAGACTTTCGAGGAAATACCCCTCTACATCTTGCCTGTGAGCAGGGCTGCCTGGCCAGTGTAGGAGTCCTGACACAGACGTGCACACCTCAGCATCTCCACTCCATCCTGCAGGCCACCAACTACAATGGTAGGTCTATCAGTCCATCCCAGGACACAGAGAAGGGAGAGGTGGGCCCACTTGAGTCTAGGCTAGAGCCTAAACTCTCAACATAAAACGTTCAGACAATATGGACTTTAAAAAAAATCCCTTCTTGATGTCCTTATAATAATGTTCAGTCAAAACTCAAATTCTGAGTTCTTAAGAATTGAGGATATTTGTGGTTGTCCCATAAGAAAATAGGGCACGAGTTGTGTGACAATTGAAACAAGTAGTTATATTTTTTGTCTCTTATTCCTCTAGGCCACACGTGTCTGCACCTCGCCTCCATCCATGGCTACCTGGGCATCGTGGAGCATTTGGTGTCTTTGGGTGCCGATGTCAATGCCCAGGTGAGTGCAGTTCCCTTCTAGTTGGAGCCAGTCAGGTTCCTCCTGAACTCTTCCAGACTTGTTCTTACTGCAAGTGGATTTCCAGATGTGGCCTTAAACATGTCTGATTGCTTTGGTTTCAGGAGCCCTGCAATGGCCGGACAGCCCTCCACCTGGCAGTGGACCTGCAGAACCCTGAACTGGTGTCGCTCCTGTTGAAGTGTGGTGCTGACGTCAATAGAGTGACCTACCAAGGCTACTCCCCCTATCAGCTCACCTGGGGCCGACCGAGTACCCGGATACAGCAGCAGCTGGGCCAGCTGACCCGGGAAAATCTTCAGATGCTGCCCGAGAGTGAGGATGAGGAGAGCTACGACACAGAGTCAGAATTCACGGAGGATGAGGTGAGTGTTCGTCACTACCAGAATGGTCCATTCTCCCTCACCCCTCTCCCGTCCCTAGAGCAGAACTAGTCTTTATTATAGGGATCTCAACATAATTATTTAACGAAACGCAGCTTGCAAAACCAGTATCCCAAGAACTTGTCTCTCTGATTTGTTTTAACCCTTGGAGGTGAAGGGAGGTTCTGGAGTTTGAACCCAGGCCTTAACACGTGGTAACAGGCATGTGTTCTGCCATTGAACTACACCTCCTGCCGTAGCTTAGATTGTTTTTAAGGGAGAGAATCAATGAAGGAAAACTCCGACAGCATGGGGGATTCATTCTATTTGGGTTAAGGAGGAAAGAGTCCAAGATTGTGAGTTATTTGCAGAAGCAGTCCCCTCCCCTCATCCCAATGTCTTGGCAAAGTTCTAGGAATTTAATATGCCTTTTTTTTTTCCCCTCTTGTTTTAGCTGCCCTATGATGACTGTGTATTTGGAGGCCAACGTCTGACATTATGAGTGGAAAGTGTCAAAAAGAACATGGACTTGTATATTTGTATAAAACAAGAGTTTTATTTTTCTAAAAAGAAAGAAAAGAAGAAAAAAAAGAAAGAAAGGGATATACTTACCACCACACTGCACACAGCCTGCCCCCAAGCATCTTACTCTGGTGATGGCAGATTGTTATTTTTGTGAAATGGGGAAACAGATCATTGGAATTCAAAGAAAATGTCTTTTAAAGCTCACATTCGTGAGGTTTTGGGAGGTGGTTTTCCAGACTGATGAAAGGGACCACATTCTATTTATTGTGCTTTTGACTGAACGGTAGATCTGGTAGCTGAGCCTGGTATGTCCTCACATGTAGAACCAGGTGTTGAGTGGTATGTGCTAGTCACTCCCGACTGAGGTTTTTGTTACCCTCTTGTAAATGTTGTATATGGTGTATTTTGTTGGTAATTATTTTGGTACTTCTAAGATGTATATTTATTAAACAGATTTTTACAGACAGCATTGTCCTGCTCATTTTCTATTTTGAGAGTAGCTTGTTCCTGGAGGTTGAGAGCTGAGGGGGTGATGCCCAGTCAGCTAAGGAAGCCCAGAGCAGCTCCTCACGTAAGCCCAGCCTTTCCCCAGCAAAGCTTTGCCGCCCTCCAACCCCTGTGTGGGTGGGAGGCTGCTAGGGTGACAGGAAATGCCAGCCTTGGGCTGGGGTACCAACAAACCACCTGGCCTGTCACTGAAGGCTCTATTGTCATTTTCGCCTTGATTTAAGCAGTTCCAGAACCCTACTTGTCACTGAACTGAGTTTGGACAAGAGGGAATCTGCTGAATTCATTTGATATAGCTGGGAAAATTCTCAAGAGTGGACATGGGCTCAGGAAAGTACTCCTGCCATCTAGCAGACAGTCAACCTCTGAGACTTCTTATTTATTGACTGGGCTGTTGTAGACATTGCACAAGACTAAAATACAGACAGTATCAGGCATCTAGTGCTTAGGGAAAAAAAAGTACACAGCTATTGTACAACATCCTGTGTTTCACGGGGGAAGCAAGAGAGCCAGAGAACAGCTTGTGCAAGGACACCCTGAGGAGAGGAAGCTGGCTCACTTACCTAAGTCCTTGTCTTTAGGCTGTTAACCATAAGGCCATGCATCTGTTTTGCCACTAACTGTAGTCTCAGGGCTAGTAAGCTCAGAGAAATCTTTTCATCAGGGCAGTGTACTGATTCTACTGAATGATTCTGCCAAAGTCAATTTCACAATAAGTCAGTAACGTGAAAATTGCACTTAGGTGCTTGGTACTTAATGTTTTTTGGGAGAAAGGAGTAAGGTGACAGTATGTCAAATGCAGAATGATAGGTAAATAAAATGAATGTGTTTCAGCTAAGAAAATATTGCTACTATGCTTCACTATCCTGGTCTGGATCCACATACGATGTCAAATAAGTATGGCGGTCACCTTCCTCTTCTACCGAAAGGGAGCCAGCCCTCAATGTCTTTCATATATAAAAAGCACTATTGCAAACTGGGCAACCCTGGTTCATCTGGATTTAAGCACTGTGATAGCTCCTGTGTTCCCTGCCAGGTGGCCCAGGATCTACCCCAGAGCACCTGAACATAGGTGTTCAGTGCTGACCACAGAAATGTTGATTTAGACTCCTTCAACTAAGTGGGAAACGTGAGTCCCCACGAGGACCCCCCACCCCACCCCCACTCCCCCACTCTGCCTTGGTTTCTCGAGACAGGGTTTCTCTGTGGCTTTGGAGGCTGTCCTGGAACTAGCTTTTGTAGACCAGGCTGGGCTTGAACTCACAGAGATCCGCCAGCTTCTGCCTCCCGAGTGCTGGGACTAAAGGTGTGAGCTACCACCACCTGGCGACCCTTATGTTCTAAAGAACAAAAGGTAGAAACTTGTTTATTTTGGAATGATGCCCTAAGTGCTTCCTACTTAGGTTTTAAAGCCAGGTCTGCTAGTGCACACCTATAATCCCAGCACTTGAGAGGCTGAGGCAGGAGGGTCTCACATAAAACACGTCACATAAAACCAAAAGACACCTATACAGGCTCGCTTTTGTTCTGTGTGGAAGGTTGGAGAAACAGAACAAGAGGAAGTGGCCTGCCTCTCCTTGACCTCAGAGACCATCTCTTGGCTAGGAGTATCATCCTCCATGGTGGCAGAGGGAGGGGCCCCTTCTGAGTCACGTGACTGAGTTTCATGACCTGCACAAATCCTGAAGTAGCTAGGCCCGTGAAGGACTGAAGTTCACCCTTGTTCCTTATTCTCCGTCTCCATCATGCCTGTTGGTTGGATGGCTAGAGAAAATTGTAGAACAGAAGTAACTCATAGAAAGTCTTCAATTTGCTTCCAACAGGACAGTTTGGACAGAAAGCCCTCCTTCACACCCCTGATTTTATCCTGGAAGCCAAAGTTTTGTCAGGACAGGGAAAGATAAAGGAGCCTGGGAAAGAGGGGAATAAAGTCATGTGGGCAACTTCCGTGAATTTTTTTCCTCCATTCATTCTGCCTGTACCTCATGCTGCAGTCAGACACATTGGCTTGACAGGGCAGGTGGACCGGTTTTTTTCCATCAGGAAGGGTTTTTCTATAAAGCAGGAAAGAAATTCCAGTCTGAGCAATCTAAGGCCTGGAAACAGTGAAGGATGGGGGGAGGCGAGTGGCTTACACTGAAACGTCTCATCTCCTGGAAGTGATTAAGTGATGACAAGCAGAACTGCGCAAGGAGGTGCATTCTTCCTGTCTCCAAACCCAACATCTTCACTAGCCTACCTAAGGTAAGTTTTGTTAGACAAGAAAGGTCAGATTTCTCGAAGTTCACTTAGGAACCCACCCAGAGAAGAACCCCGAACACTGATCCCTGTACAAAAACATCCAGGTTGTTTCCACATTTTAAGTTAGGGAACATTACAGGAACCGAAACTTGCTATTCTGTGTGTTCCCCTCCTGAGAAGTGGGACTCTCGGTCTCATTCATTCGTTTGCATTATGAAGAATTATTCTCCAGGCGGCCCAGAGGCACACAAATGAGGTGGCCTAGGCCTCTGCCTCGGGGCCCCTTGCTTAGGAGGACAGAGAACCAGAGCTCTGGGCAGGGCTACCAGTACAGAGTGGGTAGCAAGGGGACCAGGAGCGTCTGCTCCAGATAGCTATCTACCATGTTAGCACCCCTTAGACGGGGACAAGAAAGCAAGCTGAGTTCAGAGCAAAAATAACTTCCAGTCTGGGATTAAGTGGAGCGTCCACAGCATGTTCACCGTTCATTTTTATATCTGTGGGTGACAGCAGATTCCAGAGATAAGTCTGGAGGAAGTCTGCAACCTGTCTCAATTAATGCTTGCACAGGGCTTCTCAGACAACGTGCACTTGAATTGCCTAAGCAAATTGTTGAAATTTGGGTTCTCGTTCAAGTGCTTTGAAGGTGGCATGAGGTTCTGCAGTTCCAGACAAGAACTTGGCCTTCACGGTTGTGCTGGACGGTTTTATGTCAACTTGACATAAGCTGGAGTCAGAGAGGAGGCGAAAAATACCTCCATAAGACCAGGCTGTAGGGCTTTTTCTTAATTAGTGATTGATGAAGGAGGACCCAGCCCATTGTGGGTGGTGCCACCCCAAAGATGGTGGTCCTGGGTGCTGAAACAGTGGTTTTCAACCTTTTAATACAGTTCGCCATGTTGTGGTGACCCCCAGCCATAAAGTTATTCTTTTTTTTTTTTTGGTTTTTCGAGACAGGGTTTCTCTGTGGCTTTGGAGGCTGTCCTGGAACTAGCTCTTGTAGACCAGGCTGGTCTCGAACTCACAGAGATCCACCTGCCTCTGCCTCCCGAGTGCTGGGATTAAAGGCGTGCGCCACCAACACCCGGCTCCATAAAGTTATTCTTGTTGCTACTTCATAACTGTAATTTTGCTACTGTTATGAATTATAATGTAAATAGTTTTTGGAAGTAAAGATTTGCCAAAGGCGTCAAGACCCACAGGTTGAGACCCATTGTTCTATATGAAAGGCTGAGCCAGGCATAAGGAGCAAGTCAGAAAACAGCAACTCTTCCTGGTCTGTGCACCAGCTCCTGCCTCCAGGTTCTTGTCCTGGTTGAGTTCCTTGTCCTAGCTTCTTCCAACAATAGACTACAATGTGGAAGTGTAAGCCAAGTGAACCCTCTCCTCCCCATCTTGCTTTTTGGCCATGGTGTTTCATCATAGCAATAGTAACCCTGACTAAGACAGTGTTACTCTGCTAACATGTGTCAGCACTCAAACCAGGACAAGCACTTCTTGTCCTGTTCATACAGGACCCAAAGCAAGGCAGCTAAACTACATGCTTATAATGCTAGCATGGGAGGTGGGTGCAGGAGGAGCAGGAAGAAGCTAAAGACTGAGTTACATAGCAAGCTTGAGGCCGTCCACTCATGGCAATCCTTCTACCTCATTTCCTATGAGTGCTAGGACTTCTTTCTTTTTTGTTCTTGTTTTTGTGTGGGTTGGTTTTTTGAGACAGGGTTCCTAAGTGTAGCCTTAGCTGTCCTGGAGCTCACTCTGTAGACTAGGCTGGCTTCCACAAACTCACCGAGATCTGCCTGCCATTGCCTCCGGAGTTCTGGGATTAAACAGGAGCGCCACCGCTGGATTGAGTTTTAGGATTTCAGGCTTGGGTGCTGATGTGGGATGTTTTTCTGTATGCTGAGAATACCTGTTGCTTTTATTGGTTGATGTATAAAGCTGTTTCAGTCAATGGACAGGCAAAATATAGGCAGGCAGGAATTCCAAACAAAGATACAGAGAGAAGGAAGACGGGGACACAAAGACTCCATGTAGCCACCAGGGAGGCAAGATAGCAGGGTATCACCGGTAAGCCACAGCCATGTGGTGATTGATACACAGATTACTAGAAATGGGTTAATTTATAAGAGAGAGAGCTAGTCAGTAACAAGCCTAAGCCATTGGCCAAACAATTATAAATATATATATAAAGTCTCCGAGTGGTTATTTTATAATAGGTTTTGGGGATCTGGTAGGCAGAGAGAAACTGGTCCAAGTTTCTCTGAGGGCTACGAGGAGAAAAGTCTCCTCTACAGGCCGCCATGTCCAGTAACTTTTAAAGGTCTTTTAAAAAGAAAGAAAAATTTAAGAAGCAGGCATGTAGCCAGTGAGACAGCTGAATGAGCAAAGCACTTGCTGAAGAAGCTAATGATCTAGGTTTGATCCCCTGAACCCACACAAAGGTGAAAGGAAAGAACCAATTCTACAAATACGTCCTCTGACCTACACACACTCACCATACGTGCAAATACCCACACCCCCATCACACATTATAATAATAATATTTTAAAAAAACATAGTGGCTACTTTAATCCCAGTACTTGGGAGGCAGAGGCATGTGGGTCTCTCTGTGAGGTCAAGGTCAGGCTGGTCTAGACCAGTGAAGGCTACATAATGTGCCCCTCCCTCAACAAAATACATAATAATAATAAACAAAATAAAATTTAGTGTAAAACC